GGCTATGTGTCAACTTGGAGAGAACAGTAACAAGGATCGCGCTGGCATTTACTATGTTAAATGCAATCAGACACTTTACCTTGTATGTTCAACCCCCATCCCTTCAAAACTTGCGCGATTTCAATATAGGTTTCCTTTACCCAACGGCATGCGCTAATGGTATAGTGGGAAGTTGTAATTGTGAACAAGAACAGTTTTTAAACTAAATTTTGAACTATCTATAAAAGGAGGCCATTCGTTAAGATCACACTTTATTTGCAATTTCTTCAAAAGACCTTAAACACTACAATAAACAGTTTGATGAATTTTTTGAAAAAACATGAATATGCATTGCTTCTATTGCGATGTTCAGTTACTCTTGTGAATTCACAACGATTCAAAAAATCGTTGTGATTTTCGAGTTCTACGGAAAATTTACCTATAGGAAATATAAGTCTCGTTTTTGAAAAACAAAATATTTAATTATTTGTAAACTAGTGTTACCTGTGGTGTTACCGAAAAAGTACTTTTCTCGACATACTATTAATATAAGCTTTGTTATAAATGAGTGAAAATAATTAAATGAAAATAATTTTCTTAATATTATGTTGCAAAGATTTAGCTTCGTTGCTAATTCCTTGCATTAGGATTTCCACTCTTTTGGGGAAACTTAGGTCCTTATAATTTATTCACTAATTTGTAGGTTTGATTTACATTATATACGTTTGTTGAACATTTTTTCTAGCAGAGTTGCACAACTTACCATTACCCAATGATCAGTGTATAGCATATTCTCGTTTACTCTGTTCAGCCATTGTGTGTGTTCTACTGAAGAGTGGTAAATAGAAGCTGCACTTAGTCCTCTGGGAAAGGTATGACTGCCATCTGTGCTCAACAATGGACAAACAATGCTAGATCCATTCTATGCATTGAGGTCAACTATATTGCAAAGCTGGAGTATTTTTTACCCATTCCGTTATAAAATCTAATTTGCGATGTTGGGATGTATAAACAATTTACACTGATTTCTCAGTTGATTATATTCAAGACACTGTTCTTTTCTTATTCTAACATGTCATCTCCCGTAATTATGATATTCTCTTTATTCTCATGTGTTTGAACACCATATCATAGATTTTTGAATTCGGTTTCCGATTGTTACAATTGAAATACACCTGAATGATATACGCTGATTTCTTTTCCAACTTTAATTCTACTAGTAGTAGAATTACTGTTTAGAACAGTAACATATTGAATTCCTAAGCTGGTCACTTATTCTTTCGTGACTGCGTATTTCACTCTAGAATAAAAATAACATATATTTTTCGTATATATATGTTATTTTTATGATTCTTATAGTCAAAGTATTGTATATTTTCCAAATACATATGTATGTTTCATGTTTCAATGTAAATGTAATTTATTATTGTTTCTATGTAATGTATACCTTAATATTAATTACAATGTATTTATATGAATAGTTCCCCGATGATGACTATAGATTATAGTCGAAATATTGGACAATAAAAATCTTGTAAAACTATATAATAAATTTTATTTTTTTTTTTTAATATTGTTAAAATAGAAAAAAGGTTTTTCTGGACTAACCTGAAAGCAAGAAAATGCTTTTCTATTAGCTGAACCTTGATCGCATGTTATTACGCGTACCGTTATACCAGCTTCTTGTAGGAGCTCCAAATTTCTTAAAATTATATTGCTGAGGCAATCTCCTTCTAAACCATTTTCTGACACAAAATAATTAAGAATTATTGACCAATTAGAGAAAAGACCTTTGACAATAAATAGACAAAGGCTTTTGGCAATAGTTTTACTTCTAAAAAAGCCAAGTTCTTCAAAGCCATCTATTTGGTCTAAGTTACCGTTGTAACGTAATTCTGGCCTTAGTCTCATTTCGTCAACAACCAATATTGCAAAGTCCTTATCAACTTGTCTTAGTGTGCCGGCTTTCTTTTTCAAGCTTTCGAAACCTGTATTTAAAAATCCTGGCTGCAAATTTTTTATAGGTGACCAATTGTTAATTGTTTTTTCATGTGGCAAATTAATTTTCAATTTATTTCTTAAAAATATATATGCCGATCGAGATACGAGAAACATATTTTGAGCTACTAGTTTTGTATTCTCATCATATTCTTTCTGTCGCGCTTTTAGGATCATTTTACAAAAGTTTTTGGTCTCAATATTTACATTTGCCACAGAGTCGATGGCCTGAACTACAGCGTTTTTATTTGCAGTAATTTTTATAGTTTTTAGTAGTTGTAACTTTTTCTTTAATTTTATGTTTTCCTTAAGAAGATTGACATATTTTCTTCTGTATGTGTTTGCGCATTTAGTTTGCATTTCGCAATTGCGGCAGAATACTTCATCTTGCATACCACCTATATCGCCAAAGTTCCTTGGTGGTTGCGCAAAATTGTCCGCCTCTTCATTTACAGTTCCTAAATTGTGTATTGGGTAAGCACCTTTTTTCAAGAAACGGCTGCCTATATCTGAAGGTGCAAAATGCATATCACAAATTTTTAACTGCTTTTCATACATTTCCAAAGGAATGTCACATTTTTCACGCCAAATTTGTCCCAATACATTGTCACTTGGGGGAAATCGAAATAATTTTACATTTCGATTCTTTCGACGATTCCGCATGCAGGTCGGAATACAGCAAACATAACTGCAAACGCGACTAATTGAGATCATTTTTCAGATATATAAATATTTTATAGTATTTTAAATCAAAATTCACAAAATATTTTTTAAAAAACTTAATATTCAATTAATATCCAAATGTTCAAAAATTTTAATAACACGATGTTTCACAATTTGATCACTCTTTAATGTTGTAACAGATTAATTCAAATGACAGTTGCATTGTTTAAATGCAAAATTTAATGCCGAAAATCTATTTCTCTACGTTTGTTATATATATTTATATATATATATATATATATATAAATATATAAATATATATATATGTATATATATATATATATAGATATATAGATATATAAATAAATATATATATAATTATATATAAATATATACATATATATATATATGGGAAAATAACAATTATATGATAATAAGCCCAAAACTAATAAAATTCATTCAAAAAAAACATGAGTAGTTATTTCTAGGAAGTTCTGAAACAAAATCAATAACATATGCATATGCCTATGACCATAAAGTAGAATATATTCCTCTATTTAAATTCGGTGCTAAAAAGTGATATTTAGTTTCTATGAAATAAAAAAAGTAGAGTACAAGGAAACAAAATCAAAACAAAAAACTTACATGCACGTGCTCACTATATTATAGAGCGCTGTAGAGAAATGCATTTTGCTCTCTATTTCTTGTTACGTTGTTACCCGCGCCCCCACAGGCCCGTTAGGCAAATTGAGTTTATTTTCAGATTTCTACTCTATAATATTTATACTCAATGGTTGCACCAATGTACTTTTCAATGAAAAGTAAAGTATGAAAAGAAAAGTGAAATATTTGACAAAAAACTGGTTTCTTTGCACTTTCTGTTGCACCAATACTTTTTACTTTGCGCTTTGCAAAAGTAAACTGCAAAACTTCACAAAAAAAATTTTGTTCTACTGGTTTTTTAAAAACCCAAGAATTACTCAATATTTGAGTCGTTTTACAAAATGTGTGCAAAGAGAATGAATTTGCATTGATATGTGCACATTATCACACTCAACCGTTCTTTTGGATATAATATATGCATATATGCATATACAAATATATGCATATACATACATATATGCATTTAATATTATGTTCCTTTTCTTTAATGAGTATGTATATTTAAATATGTTTATATTTCGTTTATTAACCTGTTTTGTATGTTGTGTTCTTTATTATATTTCTAATATTTGCGATATTACAATTGAATTTAATTCTAAGAAAAAATGTAAAATATGTACTTATATAATATTCCCTCATTTTAATTATTTTAAGGAATGTTCTTATTCTGAACATTTGAAAAATATTAATTCACTATATTTTACAACTAAATTCTGGCTGAGTTCTTCTATATTATTGTTAAAAAGAGGTGTCTTAATTGATCTTATATTAATTGCTAACTTAAATTGTAAAGCTAACATATTTTTTATTCATTTTAGAAATGTTTGTTGATTTTAGACTTCTCTAAGGCCCACAAGTAAAGCTTACGAAGTAAAAGAAGAATTAAAAAATCAAGAAGCTGGATTAGATGTTCATTACAGGGCCCATTAAACCACTGACGGGTTTCTTTATTGCACATTTCTATTATTAAACTCTTAATGCCAATTGCATCTGTTTTGTTTTTGAATACGTGTTCAAAAACCTCGAAATGTTTACAAAAGAAACATTGAAAAAACTTTGTGATGGCGCAATCTCCCGTAATTATGATATTCTCATTATTCTCATGTGTTTGAACACCATATCATAGATTTTTGAATTCGGTTTCCGATTGTTACAATTGAAATACACCTGAATGATATACGCTGATTTCTTTTCCAACTTTAATTCTACTAGTAGTAGAATTACTGTTTAGAACAGTAACATATTGAATTCCTAAGCTGGTCACTTATTCTTTCGTGACTGCGTATTTCATTCTAGAATAAAAACAACATATATTTTTCATATATATATGTTATTTTTATGATTCTTATAGGCAAAGTATTGTATATATTCCAAATACATATGTATGTTTCTTGTTTCAATTTAAATGTAATTTATTATTGTTTCTATGTAATGTATACCTTAATATTAATTACAATGTATTTATATGTATAGTTCCCCGATGATGACTATAGATTATAGTCGAAATATTGGACAATAAAAATCTTATAAAACTAAATAATAAATTTTATTTTTTTTTTAAAAAAATATCATTATTTAATAACTGACCAATTAGCCCGTGAAATAATTATTTTTAAAAAAAAATTTCTTTTGGTCATTAAAACATTAAATTATTATATATTATTTATATTACAGAAAGCCGGGGACTTACGCAGGAACTTCTCCGATATTTAAACGAAAGTAAAAATATCACATACAGGAAAAATGACATAAGACGCCCACGCCCAGTTATGCCAGAGGGTAAGCGATTAAGTATTAACATACTTATTTCTTAGAAATTTCGTTATATATATATAGTTATAGTTATATATAGTTTTGAAAACAATTAAAAAAATGCAAAGCGTTGCACCAATGTACTTTTCAATGAAAAGTAAAGTATGAAAAGAAAAGTGAAATATTTGACAAAAAACTGGTTTCTTTGCACTTTCTGTTGCACCAATACTTTTTACTTTGCGCTTTGCAAAAGTAAACTGCAAAACTTCACAAAAAAAATTTTGTTCTACTGGTTTTTTAAAAACCAGTAGACATGCTTTCCAGTTGCACTAGCAATGTGTTCGACTAATTTTAAGGCACTTACCTTTGGATTTTTGTCAACTTCTTTTAAAACCAAGCTGACATCTAGTAGCGAGGCGTCAGCTTTTTGGCAAGGTGTTCACAATTTAATCAAAACAGAATTCCAACTATAACGTATTCTCCCTACTTCTAAGTTTTGTCCTTTCCACAAGCAAATAGCATACAAGACCAACAAAACAATTTATTTAAATGTTCGCAGCCTGTGATCCACTGGTTTTTATTTACCATAAAGCTGTAGCTGTTGGAAAACGACGACTTACCATAGATTTCGACATTTTTACAACAGGTATCAAATTCTTCATATCTGGAGTTGGTTTATTCATTTCATGAATTAAAATCTTTTTTTCAGAAGATCGTTTAAAAAAAGACATTGAATCAAATCTTTAATCACACATTTATCCATTTCTAAATATTATTTTTCACTTCAAATTTCTTTAATTTCTTTCTTTACTTTTACCATTTGCTAGTATAAAATTGCAATAATGACTTTGTTTTGATTTATTTCCACCCTCTATATAAGAGTAAGAAACTCTCATTTACTCTTCATTTACTCTTTTACTTTGTATTTACAATGCCCGGTTCAGGTTTTATACTGAACCATTTGCCCATATAAAACAGCAATCGTGACTTTGATTGTATTTGCACGCTTTGTATAAACTTTTGGTTCAGTTTAGTGGAATGATCCTCTCGTCAAATGTAAAGCGATTTTCGCTCAGTCATTTTTTTTCTCTTTTGTATTTACTTTGCATAACATTGGAAGTGCACTTTTTTTATTGAACTGCTTGCACGCATTAATTTAAGAGTTATGATTATTTTGTTTTTGTTTTCTCTTTTATTTTTATATTTCTTTGTATGTCTTGTGTTGTGTATTCAATATTGAACATAGTCCCAATGTGAATGTTATTTCATTTGCATGCTTTTTAAGCGACGCAGTGCAGTTTTTATTCTGAACCTTAGTATATTTCAAGAGGAATGTTATTTCTCTTTTATTAATTATAAGCAATGTTGGGTGTATCTAACATATGTGTGATTTTGTTTGTATTCTACGTTTTGTGTTTATGTTAATCTGTTTGGAAAAGCTATTATAAAAAATGTTAATTAGCAATATAGCGAGATTATTTACCTAATAAAAAAAATCTAAAAAGGAAGCTTTGTTAAGGTGTTCAGTGAACACTCTGAACCATTCGACGCCTCGCCTCTGCTGACATCCCTACGTGTGAGTTGCCTTAGGCGGCCACTGCGAGGCTTATTTTCAATAGAACCAATATTTTTATAATTTTTTATTATCGTCTGAACTGTTGATCGAGTCAAATTTACTATTTTGATACTTTTACCATAAGGTTTTTTTTCATTTCTATGCTTAATAACCAGATTTCGCATATCACTTGAAATTCTTTTCGTGGACCCATCGTGTCAATTAAATACCACTCTCAAAGCACAACTAAGTGCATTATATAAATGTATGACTCATGCCACAAGCATGAAATATGAAAAACGGTACTTTCCCGTTTAACATTTAAATTACTGTCGACTATATCTAACAATCAATGAAGTGTATGTAGACTTTTGTCAATGATTTTTTTAGGTTTTTTTCGAATAACTTTGTTAATTTATATTGATGAATGGATTTTCTTTTGTTTATTATTATTAAAAAACAGTTCTAAACAAAACTGTATCATTACTTTTTTCTATTATGTCCTTGGATTTACGAGCTAGCAAAAATGGGGGGTGTATGTAGAGTTTTGTCGCTGACTGTACATGAATCTTTAATATTTAATTATAACATTTTTATATTAATAATAATGCTCTCTTTTGTTTTGTTTTTAGAAATACAGTGTGATCCGGAAATATCGGAAGAAGTTCCTGCACTGCCAGTTATGCCAGAGGGTAAGCGATTAAGTATTAACATACTTATTTCTTAGAAATTTCGTTATATATATATAGTTATAGTTATATATAGTTTTGAAAACACTCAAAAAATGCAAAGCGTTGCACCAATGTACTTTTCAATGAAAAGTAAAGTATGAAAAGAAAAGTGAAATATTTGACAAAAAACTGGTTTCTTTGCACTTTCTGTTGCACCAATACTTTTTACTTTGCGCTTTGCAAAAGTAAACTGCAAAACTTCACAAAAAAAATTTTGTTCTACTGGTTTTTTAAAAACCAGTAGACATGCTTTCCAGTTGCACTAGCAATGTGTTCGACTAATTTTAAGGCACTTACTTTCGGATTTTTGTTAACTTCTTTTAAAACCAAGCTGACATCCCTACGTATGAGTATCCTTGGGCGGCCACTGCGAGGCTTATTTTCAATAGAACCACTATTTTTATAATTTTTTATTATCGTCTGAACTGTTGATCGAGTCAAATTTACTAATTTTGATACTTTTACCATAAGGTTTTTTTTCATTTCTATGCTTAATAACCAGATTTCGCATATCACTTGAAATTCTTTTCGTGGACCCATCGTGTCAATTAAATACCACTCTCAAAGCACAACTAAGTGCATTATATAAATGTATGACTCATGCCACAAGCATGAAATATGAAAAACGGTACTTTCCCGTTTAACATTTAAATTACTGTCGACTATATCTAACAATCAATGAAGTGTATGTAGACTTTTGTCAATGATTTTTTTAGGTTTTTTTCGAATAACTTTGTTAATTTATATTGATGAATGGATTTTCTTTTGTTTATTATTATTAAAAAACAGTTCTAAACAAAACTGTATCATTACTTTTTTCTATTATGTCCTTGGATTTACCAGCTAGCAAAAATGGGGGGTGTATGTAGAGTTTTGTCGCTCACTGTACATGAATCTTTTAATATTTAATTTAATTAACATTTTTATATTAATAATAATGCTCTCTTTTGTTTTGTTTTGTTTTTAGAAAGAGAATGTGAAAGACAATCTGGTCCGGAAGAAGTGCTTGTTGGCCGTACAAGCACGCCTGAAGGTAAGCGATTAAGTATTAACATACTTACTTAATTTGACACTTGCTTAACTTAATTAATTCTAAGAATATAATTATCTATTTTACAATGTTTGGTTATTTAATACAGTAGAATCGCGGAAAAGTTAACTCTCGAAAAAGTTAATCTCGCGGAAAAGTTAACAGCATTTCGGCGTCCACGTAGCGCTCTAAAAAGTTAACTTCGAAGTTAACTTTTCCGAGCGTATGAATTTTTTTTTTGAAATCAACCGTTTCTTTGCCGACACAAGCCAGTGCGAGCTCTAGTTTTGATTATGGGTATTCCCCGAATATTCTATTTTCTTTCTGTTTTGTTTTGTGCTCCAAACATATGTTTTCATTCTTGTCGCAAATTACCTTGACTGAATTGTTCGGTAGCGTTTGAGTTGATTAGTTGTGAATTTTTTATTAAAAAAATGTCAAAAATACAGAAAAAACGGCAAATCAGATTAAATTTGCAACAAAAAGTAGATATATTAAGAAAACTTGATGACGGTATTGCGGGAAATCGAATAGCGCTGCATTATGGTGTGACTAAAGTAGCCATCAGTAAAATAAACAAAAAACGCCAAGAAATTTTAAAAACAGTGGCGGCCACTTATGAAAGTGCAGAGAAGAAAACACTCCATAAGTCGGAATATCCTGATCTGGAGGTAAACTTGTACAATTGGTTCCTGAATCAACGGCAGCGTAATTGTGCAGTGACTGGTGCCATCTTAAAATCAAGAGCTAAACTCGAATTTGAAATTCTGTATCCGGGAAAAAAATTTAGTGCAAGTGATGGATGGCTGGCAAATTTTAAAAAACGGCACGGTATTCGCCTTCTCAAAATTTGTGGGGAAATTCTTTCGAGCGATACACCGAAAATAACTCCGTTTGTACATAGTCTACGAGCAAAAATCAATGAAATGGGCATCTCCGACTCCCAACTATATAACGCAGATGAATCTGGGCTATTTTATCGTTTATTACCGGACAAAACATTTGTCGCAGCAAACGAACATGCCGCACCGGGAAGAAAAACTGTTAAGGAAAGAATTACATTTTTGTTGTGTGCAAACGCAGATGGTTCGCACAAGTTGAAGCCGTTGGTGGTCGGTAAATCTGCAAAACCACGTTGCTTTAAGGAATTTAACAATCCATTGGAATACGCTCATACAAGCAAGTCGTGGATGAATGCACAGTTATTCTTCAACTGGTTCCACAATTCATTTATAAAACAGGTAAACTTATTTTTTGGTTTCATTTTTCATTTCTAATGAACATGACATAAAAATTTTTGAAGGTTCGCAAATTTTCTGTTGAAAATAATTTACCACCAAAGGCATTGTTGCTAATAGACAACTGCACGGCACATAAGCCAATTGACAGGCTGAAGTCTGACGATGGAAACATTGTAGCCATGCATCTACCACCGAACGTAACAGCGGCTTTGCAGCCAATGGATCAAAATCCCATAAGATTGGTTAAATTAGGATATCGCTCCAAATTGTTATGCAACATTGCCGCGCAAGAAAACGTTCTGGTGGAAAATATTTTGAAGGCACATTCAATTTGTGACGCCATATCGCTACTTAATTCAGCATGGGAAGAATTGCCGCAATCAATTCTTATAAAAGCGTGGAATAAGATAAAAAAAGTGGGATGATGATCAATACGATAGTGAAGATGATCTTCCGTTGTCCAAATTTATTAAAGCAAACGATGTTTACGACGATACAGTTCGAGAAGTTCAATCGTTAATGTTGAAAGTGGGAAATAATCTTAACATCAGCATTGACGATATAGAAAATTGGAACAAGGATGAAATTACGGAAGATATGGAACATTTCGAAGTGTGTGATAGTGACAATGATGATTCAATTACCGAGGAAGATATTCAACAACCGAAAGTGAGTTTCTCGAAAGCAGTTGAAAACATCAATACCTTGATAAAATGGTCCAAAGACAACAACGATGCAAATCAGGTGGCAGACCTTATCAGTATGCGCACAAAAATGGTCAAGAATTATTACACCAAAGAAAAAAAACAAACAACTCTCGACTGCTTTTTTAAACCAACTGGTACAAATTAACAATTTTCCTTTTGTAATGGCTAAAACATAAACAAAAAAAAAAGGAGCTATTTCTAAGCAAATCTATGCTTATTATTGTAGTTTTTTCTTTTTTTTATGAATTTTGAAAACCGCTTGGAAAAGTTAACAATCTCGAAAAAGTTAACAACCCCAAAACGGAGCGGTTAACTTTTCCGCGATTCTACTGTAATACAAATTATTTTAATAATATTCTTATTCTTAACATTCAAAAAAAATATAAATTCACTATATTTTATGACTAAATTCTGGCTAAGTTCTTTTACATTATTGTTAATAAGAGTTGTATTAATTGATCTTATATTAAGTGCTAACTTGAATTGTAGAGCTAACATACTTCATATTCATTTTAGAAATGTTATCAGAATTAAAAAATCAAGAAGCTGGGTTAGATGTTCATTACAGGGCCTTTTAAACCACTGAGGGGTTTTTTTTTTGCACATTTCTATTATTAAACTTTTAATGTCAATTGCATCTGGCTTATTTTTGAATACATTGTGACCGAAAAGTTTCCGGAAATTTTAAATAAAACGCAAAATTCTTAATCTTCATCAATATTTATTTTATCTCCAAATTTGAAAGAGAATTATAATTTTTATAGTAGATGAAAAGCTCACTTGGAGCAGTCAAAATTTCATCCCTTTTTTTAAGTTTATATTGCAAGCTTCACAATTTAGTTTTAAAAGTATTTTTTTAGCTACGTACCCTATTGTGTATCTTAAAGACAATAAATCAATATTTATATTCTTTGAATTGGAAAATGCATCTGATATAATGCAATTTTCGATGTCATTGCACTCTAGATCAGAGGAGGCTTCTACTGCACAGTTACTAGACACCCTAGAGTTATTTTAATAGAGTTCTATCAAAGAAGAAGAAAGCACATCATCAAAGCACTTGTTATCATTATCCTCACTTATTTCACAATTGGCTACTTTCTTAGCGTATGTATAAGATATTAATAACTGAATTTATAAATTATAAGTCACCATTTATATATGGTACAATTTTTTACCTAAATATGTTGTTTTTTAAAAACCTTTACAATAAATAATAAGCAAAAAAATAAAAATAACTTAATAATAAAAAACAATAAACTATTAAAATTAAAAACAAAACCGCAATAAAAGAAGGATTAGCGGGGTGGTCTATAGCGCAACAAGAACAGGTAGTTTGCACTTATATTATCATAGTCGTCATCGTAAGCAATATTTATAATATAATAACTGTCCTTATATTATTACTTATTGAATTTTTTGTTAAACTTTATGAAGTTTACTGAAGCTCATATTTTGCATAATTATTCAGTAATTTCTGAGATCTGAAATATATACAAAACATAGACTGGGAACAGCAAATTTTTGTGATCCTTTAACATTAGGCTATTAGTGGAAAAAATTTTATGGAAAACTTGTATACATTTTTTGGGTATCGCAGATTGTAGTGAAAAAAGTCGTAAAAACACGGGGGATTTTTGCAAATTTTCACTTTTAATTTTACTGTTAATAAAATTTAAACATGTTTTTATTTAAAATTGGTAATAATATCCTAACCTGTAAAAAATATAAAAAATGATAATTTTTCAATTAGTAGATAAAAAATTAAATGGGTTCAAATTTCGCCAAAATTGTACGAAATCTCAATTTCGCCAAAATTTCATACAATTGCGAATAACATACAATAATTTACAAAATATACTGTGCTGTTTACTTCTATACAAATGTGTTTCAGTTAAACTTGAAAATAAAAATTTCGGTTTTACAGAAAATTCTATAATGAAGAAAAAAATGGATTGTGAACAAAAAATAAGTTTTTTGGTATTTTTGCAGACATTTATTGCTTTGATATTTTCATTAGTTGCTGTTCTTGATTTCTCAATATTGTTAAATGCACCTTTCTACATAAAAATACCAACAACTGTAGTTCAGAGCGCAGAAAAGCAATACAAATTGCTTTAAAACTCATTAAGTATAAAATGCTTAAACACTCCAAACTCTCCCGCATGTTAAAACTGAAAAATTAAAAATTGAGTCACAACGAGTCCATATGACACAAAAATAACTCAAATACTATTTCCCCGATTTCTGCGACCGATTTTTGTGAAATTGCCCTCACTTCATTTTTAAGATTTTTTGAGTGATGCACACTCTATGTATATATACTCTTTGGTATTGTATTCTCTATTTTGGTCCAATACTTTTTGATTTTCTATTGTAAGTGCATATGGTATTTAAAATTTAATAATTAATATATTACATTTTTTTAAACACTTTCAGATATTGCACCAGAAGAGCTGGGGGCTGTGGGTGGTTCAGAACCCGCTCTCACTCTTTCAACTCAGTTGAAAGAGTCCGAAGAGCGGGTTAGGGCAGAAGAGCGTATGAGAAGGCACTCTCTCTTAATCGCTGAATTAAGAGCAGAAGTGTCTTCTCTTACAGCTGAGAGGGACACACTCATGCAGGCGCACGCTTTAAGAAACAACTTGCCAACATTTCCTCTGCGAAATGTTGGCGAGTTCGACAGGCTGGAGGCGCATCTGCTTTTATGTGAAGAAATGAGGGAGAAATTGGTAAGAAAGCTTTTTATTTTTTAAAATAACTAAATTAATTAATTTTAATTTCTATTATTTGTATTTGCAGAAACAATCATTTCTCCAATTAGAAGCAGATGACGCTAAAAGTTTTGTTCGGAAAGCGCTGCGGAGTGTGCTCCCAGATGGTGTAGCCGGCCATTTTACATTGAGAGGGACACTCATGAAAAGGGCTATAGGGCAGAGTCTCTTTATTAAAACAATAAGAGGTTTTTACATATTCTGTTGTTATTTTCAACTAAACTACATGTATGATTATATTTTCAGATGCGGTTATGGAAAAATTTCCAAATACAGACCCGCATAGTTTAAGTAATTTTATTAGCAAGCACTTTTGTTGCACAGTTAGTCAGAAACGTTGATTTGTGTAACGTGCGTTTGTATAGAAGCTGGTATGTACGCATTGTGTGGGCGTGGTGTGCATGTTACTCAAGAAGATTTTGAAATGACTATCGCTAAAGTTATGCAGATGAATTCAAAGGATTCATGTCTATGGTATTAAGAAATTATGAAAGTAAATTTTAAGACTTTTATATATTTATACACCGAATATTATAAAATGATTATTGATTTGTAATTGAATTATTTCTTGGATCTTCACAATTAAAAGTTAAAAAGTAAATATAACATTTACGTTTTTTGTATTTGGTAATTTTTTGTGAGAAACGCATAATTATTTTTTTTTTATTATTAAAATTTTTGTCTTATTACTATATATTTTATTACAGTTGTAGATGATTTTAATTTATATAAAAAATGTTTTGTCTTACATTTTTTTTCAAAACCTCTTGAGTTGCGTTTTCTAAATAAAAAATTTCGTAACATGCCACAGTACAATAAAAATCTAGGGGATTATTGACTTTGTGTCGGACATACTCAACATCAACTAACCATTGCCACTAAAAACTGTAGAGAAAGTTTCATCGTTCGTAAGAAAACGAGATCAAGTAGGATTCAATAAATCAAAGCACTTATCTCGGCTTTAATAACAAAATGTTTGCAGAAATTGCATAAATTAGAGCAGTGATTCGCGACTCAAGACATTCTGTAGACCAAAAAAATATTCAATGTAGTTTACAAACAAATTATTAAAAGCATCTAGTGCAAAGAGTAGTACCAATATTTTTGAAACAAATAATATCGTTAAGGGAAAAATTCAATATTTTACATGCCACCAGTGCTAATGATACCCTTATTTTGAAGTTATTTTGGCCACTATTATTTAGAGTTATTGTCACAAAGTAAATTTATATCTAGCCAGGTTTATATATAAAAAATTCAGAAAATAATTGTGTTGTGTGTGAATAAATCAAATTTTATTTTATTTATTAACTACTAAAACCGTATTTACAATTGTCAGACACCGAGTTTAAATAAAACACGTCCGTTTGGTTAAGAGTGTCCAGTCAAAACTAAACTTTCATTTCTTTATTATATTTCTTACATTAATGCACTCCGAGAGAGTAACACTCATGAGAGCATGAAAAGATGCATAAGAGTAATGATAATAGAAGTAGCAATAAAGCAATAAATAAAAGTAAAAATAACAAACGAGTGACAGTTCGACTATCCTGACATTAACTCGTCCTCGAGTTTCAAGTTTACTATATGTTAATATCGTTATCTTCATCGTAGTCATCGTCGACTGTAGGAAATAATGAACACCATGGTTTCAGTTTGTCACTGCTAACGACTGTGCTATACCGGCGTTGTTTTCTTTGTTCACCCACCATGTCTCCAATAACATACCTGTCAAATCGCAGAATTTTCTTCACTTCATATGGCCCGCGATATTTAATGCCAAGTTTTCTTGATTCGCCTGTGCTTGGAAGCGTTGCTTCAATAAGCACAAGATCACCTTCTTTATACGGTTGTGGAGTTTTATATTTAGCATCGAATCTAGCTTTCCAAACCTCACGTGCAGCCTTAATGTTCTTTTTAGCATCCTCACGACGTGCGCTTAATTCGTGACTATCGATATTGATATTTTCTTCTGTTACAGCAGCCAACAGTTTATTTCCACTGATGTCTTTTAACGGAAAATCGTAAATTAGTTCAATGGGTGAATATTTTGTTGTTGAATTTATTGTTGTATTTATCTTCCATTGTAAGCAACGAAGTTTTGTGTCCCAATCTTTTGTATCTGATGACGTCTTTAAATAAGAGAGAATTGATTGATTCACACGTTCAGCAATACCATTAGCTCGTGGTGTGCGTACGGCAACTTTAATATGCTGAATATTGTTACTATTACAATAAGCTTCGAACGCTGAGGATGTAAAAGCTGTACCTCTATCAGTAACGATTTTACTGGGAAGACCAAAATACAATGTTAGTTGATTAAGTGTTTCTATTACAGGTTTGGTTTTCGTTGATTTAACAGCGACAGTTACAACATATCTAGTTAGTGCATCCACGATCACTATGATATATTCATTACCACTGCAGCTTCTAATAAAAGGTCCTAGATGGTCCATATGTATTACCTCGAACGGCACCCTCGGTATCTCCATACCATATAGTTGACATTCTTTCTTTGCTGTACTTCGATTATAACAACATTCAATGCATGATTTGATGTACCCCTTAACAAAATTTCGACATCGAGGAAACCAAAAATGTTGTTTAATACGTTTTATTGTGCCATCCACACCTGGATGACCAGCATCATCATGACAAAGTTTCACAATTCTCCATCGTATTCCTTTTGGTATGACCATTAACTCTTTCCCATCATGATGTCTTCTATAGAGCCGATTTCCCTTTAAAATGAATTCCTTCTCATGCTGCTCTCGCTGTGTTGAATCGACACGTCCTTTTAAAATATCAATGATCTGTTGTAAATTTGCATCTTGCTGTTGCATTGTCAAAATCCAATCCTCATTCGAAATATCAATCATCATTAAATTTGCAGATACATCATCAACTTCGCATGGCGGTTCAACAGGAGCTCGACTCATTGCGTCAACGTGAGCCATTAAATTACCTGGGCGATGACTTGCGTATAATCATATTCGAGCAATTTTAACAGCCATCTTGCGACTCGTGGAATCATTGGTGTTACTGTTTTAATACTGGAAATAGCTGAACAATCCGTAAAGATTTTAAAATGTTTGCCCAAAATATACATTCGAAAACGTTGACATGCTTCAACTACCGCTAAAACTTCTAGTTCATATCCATGATATTTACTTTCAACATCTGTACATAATCGACTAAAGTATGCTATGGGCTTTGATATTCCGTTATCTTCACGTTGCATTAATATCGCTGCAAGTCCAATACTGCTTGCGTCAGTATAAATTTCTTGTTCTTTATTAATGTCATATATTCCCAAAAGCGGCTCATTAGCTAACAATTCAATTAGTTTGAGGAAAGCATTTTCACATTCTAATGACCATTTAAAAGCAATATTCTTTCTCGTTAACTGTGTTAACGGATGAGCAATTTGTGCATAATTCTGAACAAATTTCCTGAAGTAACCTGTAAGTCCCAAGAAACGTCTGACTTCTGTTACATTTGTTGGTATAGGAAATTGTTTTATCGCAATGGTTTTCGTTATACCAGGTTTTATACCATTCTCGTCGACTTCATGACCTAAAAACGATACACTGCCTTTCATAAAATAACATTTCAATAGGCGTAAGGTCAATCCTTCATTACGAATAATTTTCAAAAATTCTTCTAAATTCTCAAGCCCTTCTTGTGCTGTTTCAGATGCCACAATGACTTCATCAACATAACTAACCACCTTACCTCTCAGCGGTTCCATAAGTTTCATCATCATCTTTTGAAATATGCACGGAGCATTTTTGAGGCCAAATGGCATTCGGTTAAACTCATAGTGACCATTATGAGTGACGAACGCTGTCAGCTTTTTCGACGATTCAGCAATTTCAATCTGATAATAGCCTGACATCATATCTAAAGTTGTGAAAAATCTTTTTCCCGCAAGAGTTGATAGAACACCATCTACTGTAGGCATTGACCATGGCTGTTTTTCCGTTACAGCATTTAATGCCCTGTAGTCGATGCATAAACGATCTTCACCATTCGATTTGGATACAAGAACAATAGGAGACGAGTATTCTGAAGTTGATGTTCGAATAATATTTAACTCTAATAATTCGTCAACAATTCGTTCCACGACACGTTGTTTAGGAATTGGTATGCTGTAAGGTTTTTTTGTTATCGGCGTTGGAGATGTAACCGCAATCTCCATTTTCGTTGTTTTCGCCTTACCAAGTTCATTTAGATTTTCGCCAAAACAATCATAATAATTATTTAACAAATTACGCAACTCATTTTGTTCGTTTACCGATAAATTCTCGTTGCACTTAAAATTTTCGGGTGTTATCGCAAACACTTGACAGTTTCCATTTTCAATCACAACGCGACATTTGGACAATAAGTCAATACCGATAATAACGTCATATGCCATGGTATCATCTTCGACCACTAGCATTTCGCACTTGTACTTTTGTTCATCAATAGTAATTGACAACTTATCTGTCTTTTCGGAACACACATATTCACCGCCGGCAAAACCGTTCAAAGTTTTCACACATTTTATTAGTTTACATTTCAATATAGTGGCTATATTACGCTTAATTATTGACACACCACTGCCTGAATCGATCAAAGCGTTACATAAAATATTGTTTATACATATTTCTTTAATTATAATACCAGGTTTTTCAATCGCATTTACTGGATTTCGTTTATTACACGTTTTTGTGTCATGGTTTCCTGAACACATTGAACAACGCGGCTTTCGTTGCGGTTTTGGACAATTTTTCGAAATGTGCCCATTTTCCCGACAATTATAACAAACCGGTCCCGTTTTTACCACACGAGTTACACTGGAGTCACTGTTATTTTTATTCGGCATATATTGATTATCATTGTAACGTACTACTGGTCTTCGTACGCTTACATTACTGTTCTGCAACGACCGCACAAAATCTGAGCAATTTTTAAATTGCATAGCAGATAATGTCTTCCGCAACCCGTCGTCATACAACCCGATTGTTACATATCTTATGACCACTTGGTCTTCGAGTTGTCCGCGGCGTCCAATAGCTAACATTCGATAGTAGTACTCAACAACGCTTTCATTTTTTCTCTGCTGATTGCTCATTAACTGCATATGAATATCAGCAGCATTTAAAACACACGGAAAATCATTTAAGAATGCGACCACAAATTCACCCCAGCTACGAAATACTGGTTGCGAATCGATCCACAATTTTGCGGCACCTCTCAATTTACTTCTTATAGCAAATAGAACAATATGGTCATTCCACTGGTATGCATTCTTTAATTGCTCAACACTTTGAACAAATTGCACTGATGTGACGTCATCACTGTTGTTGTCGAATGACGGCAAAGCATCTATAATTTCTCTTATATTACAGTAATTACTTGCACTCTGCATTGCCATAGCAATATTCGAATTCATATTTGTTTCATACTGCATACGCAAATTGGTTTGATTTTGTCTGTTCTGCATGTACGGTGCGTATTCTGTTGACGTAGCAGCTACAGCTATGTTCGGCGCGATCAACGGCGACTTTTGCACACACTCAGGGGTTGAAAAGATTACTGGCGCCAACGTAGACGCATTAGGCATATTCATTACATGTGACGCTGGCAGAGGCCACACTGTGCTTGTTGATGCACACGAATATTTGTTCATGTATTGGTTCGGTACAGTCATCGAAGGCAAAGAAACACTCACTGTATTTGTTGTAGTTGTAGTTTGACTTGTTGCATGTAGATCAGTATTCGGCACAAAATACTTATTCGCATTTAATTCCGGCATCGACGTCGCCACCGCATTGATAGGCTGTATTAATGACTCCAATGTCCGCTGGAGACGCAATACTTCGGCTTTCAATTCCAAAACGGTGGTGTTTTCGTTTGCCGTATTAACATCGGCGACACTTTGTTTATCCTGATCATTATGCAATTGTGTTTTCAAATTACTTTCCTTTACCGAAGGAAAATCATCCAAGTCAATTGCATTTCCCATTGTGTTCGAATCCATTATTTTCATTAATAACTGTTTACACTTATTACCAATAAACTATTATTTGCACTCTTTATTTTAAATCCCACTTCTGAATTTGTCAGACACCGAGTTTAAATAAAACACGTCCGTTTGGTTAAGAGTGTCCAGTCAAAACTAAACTTTCATTTCTTTATTATATTTCTTACATTAATGCACTCCGAGAGAGTAACACTCATGAGAGCATGAAAAGATGCATAAGAGTAATGATAATAGAAGTAGCAATAAAGCAATAAATAAAAGTAAAAATAACAAACGAGTGACACAATCCTTACAAGATCTGAATTAAAAGGTAAGTCAAAAATTATATTTGTTATGAAGACAACAGCATACGAATATCATTATTATCAGTAACATCCTAACATGTTTGATCATTTCTATCAATTAGTTTGCTATTTGCATTAAATGATAGTAAGAACGTACACAATCAAAGTGACCACCATTAACAGCATAATGTAAAGCAGTCTGTTCTTAATTTGCAAAACTTCCAATATTGGCTTCTTTGACAAAGTAAAAAAACATCTTTTTCATGTTCAGCTTTTTGTACTACATCATTTATCGGTAGCTCAGTGAAATGAACTACCCAACTAAAGGCAGATTCACATTTCTGTGCACTTTTTAACTTTGGCTGCCAAAGCGGATCAAGATGTTTTACCTTTTCAATATACAAATTGTTTACAAACAATGTTGAACACAAACAAATTATTCAAATGTCAAAAATTACCAAAACAATATTGCCAAGTCAATGAAAAGAAATTCAATTATTTTTTTGGAATCAGCCACTATAATAAAATTTTATCAAAGAAATGTTTATAATATTAAATAAAAGTAATTAAAATTTTAGAAAATACAAATATTTACAGAATTTATTGCAAATGTTCATTAAATAATGAAAAATATATGCTAAAAGTGATCATTTTTCGGTTGAAAGTTTCCTAATAGCGATTATTAATTTTTTCAATACAAATAACACAAAACATTGAATATAAAATTATTTTTTATTGTCATTTTCTATATTCTTATATTTATTTGAGTCCAATTATGAAAATATTATCTTATGAAAATATTAAAATGGCAACCCTGGCGATTTAGTCTCGACTTAGCCACCTCGAAAATATGATAAGGATGTGTGCGAGTTAGGCTAAGCTAATGCTAAACCAAATGGGAGATTTTTTGGGATTTTTTGCACTGCACACATTTAGCCATTTATCAACATGTATCGACACATCACTACATTATCGGCACAACTTAGAATTTCCCTCATTTAGAACGCAACTTAGCCTAATTCGCATACGACCTAAGAATCGACACATTACTACATTATCGACACAACTTAGAATTTTCCTTATTTAGAACGCAACTTAGCCTAACTCGCACACGACCCATCATATATATATTTGCTCTACTAAGGTCGTGTGCGAGTTAGGCTAAGTTGCGTTCTATATGAGGGAAATTCTAAGTTGTGCCGGTAATGTAGTGATGTGTCGATACGTGTTGATAAATGGCTAAATGTGTGCAGTGCAAAAAATCCCAAAAAATTTCCCATTTGATTTAGCATCAACTTATAGTACATTCACACTATCTCATTTAGGCGGTTTTGCTCATTATAATCACTAATAAGCATGATTTACCATACAAAGAGCTTTCATATAAATGTGCTGATTTACAATAAATCAGCTCATTTTAGACCAAAATTGTCGAATGCAACCCTTAAAAAAAAATTTCCCAGAAGGTAAATGACCAAAATTTGAAGTATCTGTCATATATTTTTAAATATAAAATGTAAACAAACAACAATTGAGCTGTAAACAAGTACACTGAGAAAGTAGTATTAAGGTCGTGTGCGAGTTAGGCTAAGTTGCGTTCTAAATGAGGGAAATTCTAAGTTGTGTCGATAATGTATTGATGTGTCGATACGTGTTGATAAATGGCAAAATGCGTGCAGTGCAATAAATCCTAAAAAATCTCCCATTTGGTTTAGCATCAACTTAGCCTAACTCGCACACGTCCTAAATACAATCTGTTTTTATTAATTGAATATATAATTAATATATAACATGTATATAAATGATTTAATATATCAATGAAATATTTAATTTTTTAGTGAGATATATTCTTAAGTGAAGTTTGTTTATTTCAGATGGATTCATGTCAATGGCAAAAAGAAGTACGTACTAGTATTTAATAAAATTTTTTGTTTTCATGAATTAAATAGGCAATACAAATTTAAATAGTTGATTTTAGATTAATTTAATTAAATATTATTTTCAGACACAGAAAATGAAGAGAAGGAGAAATGCTTGGTCGGTATTAGGCTAATACCAGGTTCGCACTATCTCATTTAGGTACTTGCTCATTTATATAAATGAGGAACCGTTCACATAATAATGAGCTCATTTATACAGCTTTTAGAACTTTTATATGTCAAAAAAGCTATAAAAGAACTTTCTTTTGTTTATAAATAAAACACAAAGAAAAATTTTGGTATTGTGTAAAATAAATATTTTAAAATGGAAAACGCAGAAAATTTAAAAAACATAATAAATAATGTGTGTGAAATTATTAATAATAGAAAGAAAGCAATTTCTGAATATCGTAAATGTCGTGTAATGCACCGAAAAAATATACTTGAAATAAGAAAAAAGCAAATAGCAATACTTTCTACAATAATTGCTAGCAACCGGAGGAAGTGCTGGACTTTGGTTAGTGCCGCCAGTAATGATTATTAAATAAATGTTAAAATTAACTTTTTTTTTCAGAAAAGAACAAAGAAATTCTGGGAAGTGGATTGCCAGAAAAATGGTCAAAATTTTTTCAAAGAAAATTTTCGCATGAGTTTGGAATGTTTTAAGGAGTTATGTGAATTATTAAAAGGACTACAGAAAAGAGATTGACTTGGCGTTGGCAAGTGCATTTGCCTGAAATTATTTTGCCAGGAGGTGTGGAAAATTCTTTCATCCTTGTACATGAATGCATTTCCATTAACAAGCGACAAGGTGAATGAGTGCATCAGAGGATTTGAGGTTCTTGGTTTTCCACAATGTTTAGGTGCAATGGGTAAGTTTTCAATTTACTATTACTGAAACATATTAATTGTAAACAACATTAAAGATGGAAGCCACATTGAAATAAAACCAGAATCTCAGAATGCTGTTGACTACTATAACTATAAAGGGTGGTACTCGATTGTTTTGTTTGCCCTCGTAGATTATAGGTAAGTATTTTATAAGTAAATAAACAACGAAATTTCAATAAACGCGTAAATATATTTTACTGTTTATTTACAGATACCGTTTTCTTTATATAAATGTTGGGTATCCTGGAAGAGTCAATGACTCTTTTATTTTTGAAAATTCATCACTTAAGAGCCAGTTAGAAAATTGTATTGCTTTAGAAGACAAAAGTAGGGTGATTAATGGTGTCAAAATAACCGTATTGATCCTAGGTGATTCTGCATTTCGATTTTCCACTAAAGTTATGAAACCATACCCTTATGATGAAAACGCTAGCATTGGTCAAAAAACTTTTAAGTTTCAGTATCAAATGACGGCAGAACAAATAAGACGATGTTTAGCTACATTTTTTAGTAAGTTTAGTAAGTTCTTAGTAAGTCCTAATATTTAACTTTGTAGCACTAAATAACTTAATCTAATTATCCTACATATTTACAACAAAAAAAAAAAAAGTACGCAACTTAATCTAAATTATAATAATATAATGATAATAATAATTATAAATTATGTTATATTATTAATAAATAATTATCGCTATTCATCGCTGGAGTCATCGTAACCAGTGAGCCGAGTATATGGAAAACCTTTTTCCATTGATGACGCGATACGGGATAAAGCAACATTGCTTTCTTCCATTAAATTCAGGAACCTTGCGTCTGTGCGTCCTCCCGAAACTCCAACACTCTGCTGTTCTTTCCTGATTTAAAATAAACAAACAAGCAAATTAATAAAAATAAATAGAAAAATTAACAAAATTACATTTAAATCTCTTTTTATTATATAAAATTACATAACATAATAAAAAACAAAACAGTTTCAATGCACAAATTATTATTGTAATTTTCAATTTCACTTATGAAATACTTACCTAAATCTTTGTGTAAAGTTGTGGACCTTCGTTTGCACTTCTAACGAAGTGACCAGAAAACCCCTATTCTGAAGTTCTGTGGCCATCTCATTGAAAATATGTGCGTCCCGTCGGGCGCCCCGTAATTGTGGCAGTCTTTCCTCCCATATTTCCAAAAAGTGCCTCTCGGCACTTTCCGACCAAGCATTTCTCCTTCTCTTCATTTTCTGTGTCTGAAAATAATATTTAATTAAATTAATCTAAAATCAACTATTTAAATTTGTATTGCCTATTTAATTCATGAAAACAAAAAATTTTATTAAATACTAGTACGTACTTCTTTTTGCCATTGACATGAATCCATCTGAAATAAACAAACTTCACTTAAGAATATATCTCACTAAAAAATTAAATATTTCATTGATATATTAAATCATTTATATACATGTTATATATTAATTATATATTCAATTAATAAAAACAGATTGTATTTAATACTACTTTCTCAGTGTACTTGTTTACAGCTCAATTGTTGTTTGTTTACATTTTATATTTAAAAATATATGACAGATACTTCAAATTTTGGTCATTTCCCTTCTGGGAAATTTTTTTTTAAGGGTTGCATTCGACAATTTTGGTCTAAAATGAGCTGATTTATTGTAAATCAGCACATTTATATGAAAGCTCTTTGTATGGTAAATCATGCTCATTAGTGATTTTAATGAGCAAAACCGCCTAAATGAGATAGTGTGAATGTACTATAACTCGCACACGTCCTAAATGAGGGAAATACTAAGTTGTGCCGATAATGTAGTGATATGTCTATACGTGTTGATAAATGGCTAAATGTGTGCAGTGCAAAAAATCCCAAAAAATCTCCCATTTGGTTTAGCATCAACTTAGCCTAACTCGCACACGTCCTAATTTGTATTTACACACATAAAAACAAACAAATCACATTAAACATAAAACATTTATTTTAAATCCACAATTAATAAATTATTGCTTTTTTACCTTCTTTCGTCATATTTAGGAAATTCATATATTCCCATAGGCGTGCACAGGTAGGAACGGGGGCTAAATTTCAAAATGTTATTATTGTTTTGAATAAAAATTTAAAACTGTCACTTTTTTCAATAATAGTCAGGGACCGTAACAGTTATCATAAAAAAAATAAAAATCATCTTATAACTGTTATCATATGCATTTTAAAATAAAACTCAAAAAATAATAATTAAATTTGATTTTTATTATATTCATCAAAAATAATAATTATTATATGCCTTTTATTTTTTTCGCGCAGCAATAACTCTTAAAATTTGCTTCTTATTTTAAAACGCACAAATAACTGGTATACTTGCGTTATATAATATAAAAAGCAAGAGTATCGCGCAAATTCTGCGCGATATTTTTAAAATGAAAATATAAAATGCAATTTTCATACAAGGTAGTTTTTGCAATTCCATAGAAAATGTTTGAAAAGGTTGGTGCAGGTAAAGATTTAGTTCAGTTTTTTTGTTTTTGTATTTTGCATTTATATTTTGTATTTACATTCGTATTTTGTAGGAGAACAAATTTGTATGTAAAATACAAAAACAAAAAACTGAACTAAATCTTTACCTACACCAACCTTTTCAAACATTTTCTATGGAATTGCAAAAACAACTACCTTGTATGAAAATTGCATTTTATATTTTCATTTTAAAAATATCGCGCAGAATTTGCGCGATACTCTTGCTTTTTATATTATATAACGCAAGTATACCAGTTATTTGTGCGTTTTAAAATAAGAAGCAAATTTTAAGAGTTATTTCTGCGCGAAAAAAATAAAAAGCATATAATAATTATTATTTTTGATGAATATAATAAAAATCAAATTTAATTATTATTTTTTGAGTTTTATTTTAAAAAGCTCATATATAAAAAGCATGCATAATATTAAGGATAAAAGTTATTAGAATGATAACTATTTACTTAAATAATGCTGACTTTTTTTA